GCACCAATAAGATTGGTAGATCCAGGGAGCAAGAGACGAAGAATTACTCGTAGTAAGTCGGGGCTGACAAGCTCCTCAAGCTTGCTTGGATGGTACCTGAAGCTCTCCACAATTCGAGTTACACAGAGAGAGCCCTGCTCAACGACTTTCTGATCGTTAGAATTGAAAACGCTTAGTAAGTTGGGCATAACATCCTTGACTACGTTGAATGAATCTTCTGGAATATTTCTGCAGCAATTTGCAGCAGTAGTGACCGCAGTTCTCTGTGTGTTTGTGTTATGGAAGTCAAGATTTGTTAGACAACCTGTCAATCCTCCCTCGCGGACAATTGATGCTGGATATTCAATAGATATTTTTTCCAAGGTCTAAAGTAGAAGTCAGTATTTGGAGCAGAAATCTAAGACGAAGTACTCACACTTAAAGCCTGTTCAGCTATATCAATGAAAGTCAATTCTAAAATGCTCTGGCAAAGAACTGGGACCGCGCCACCGTAGACAACGTTAGCAGTGCTTGCAGGTAAAGCTTCCATCAGATTGGCAATACATCGACAGGCAAGAAGCATTATCTCAGGATTTGCCTCCCCAAATCCGAAGTCAGCAGGTTGCATCAGAACCACCAGTTCTTTGACAAAGGCATCCGGAGAAAAGTGACCGGAAAGATTGTCTTCAGTAGAAACAAGTAATATCTCAGAAAGTTCTTGTAAAGCTATTAATTGAATGGATGGGTCATCTTTTTGCTTCAATTGTGTCAAAATGTCGCGCAGTCGAGAAGAAACTCCAGACATCATGCCACTCAAAGCTCGCAGAGTGCTCGATAACCCATGAGGTGGTCCTCCAGGTCCACCGAAGCCGCCGAATGGATCGTCATCGTCATCATCGCCGCCATCGTAGTCTTGAGGAATATCATCGTCATCGTTTTCATCGCTGGGATCGTCGTCATCGAGTGGATGTGGGGGAGGTTTATCATCTGCATCGTTCATTGTAGTGTCTGCATCCTTAGCAGCAGTGGCGGACTTCTTCGACTTTTTACTTGAGCTTGGGGTGCTGCTTGAGGCGTCTGCTTGAGAGAATATTAGCAACTTTCTACTAGATCGACTTGGATGTGAATTTCAGTAGACCTGGCCCACCTTTCTTATTATTTCTATTAGACTTGCGCCTGGAGGAACTAGCAGTTGTGTTTGATGGTTCGTTGGAAGGACCAGCAGAATCACTGTATATATTGTTAGATACTAGACCATGCTCCGAATGGATCTTGACTTTCCTGTGACTAGACATAACCGCAGGAGCTTTTGCGTTCTTTCGGCGAGAAGATGCGGCTGAAGCAGGAGCGGGTGTTGGAACTTCGGGGTCTGAAACCTTCTGACGCTTTGAACGCTTGGATGGAGTTGCCTTTGTGGGTTCAGGTTCCAGAGCGGGACTTGGTTCCCGCACAGTAGCTTTACGCTTTCGTGATGGGGCTGAAGAACGACCTGATGGAGCTACTGCTGCAGTTGCTGCAGTCGCAGAAGCAGAAGAGCCGGCCGATGGTTCTGAAGAGTTGGCAGCTTGCCGCGCGGAGGATCGTGTAATTCTGGAAGACATGAGTATTGGCTCTTAAATAATAACCTCTTAATCCATTCAACCATCGACAACTGGTGATTGACAGTCGCAAGTAGTTGGAAATGATTTAATGATTAAGAAGGAATTGTTGACGAGGAAGAAACGCAGGTAAAAGACAAAGGTAAAGGTGGTTGTGTACCTGGGAGCAAATGAAGAAGATGAAGAGATGGAAGTCGCAGTGGAGAGTGGTCTTGATATTTCTGGACCGTTATCGTTAAATGATGTCGACTCTTGTGGCCTTTCAATATGACTCGTACCCTTTGCCATTAATCCATCTGTTCGGTTTCTAATATAGAAGTCGCCAGTAGTTTCTTTCGTATTTGTTTTTTTCCTTCTCAATATCGTTTGCAGAGGAAATTATCAACTTCCTATTTTTTTGGGAAGAAGAAGTGGTGGTGGTTGACTTTTCTTTCAAGGAGTTTGTAGTGGTGGTGTGGTGGTGGTGTGTATTGCTTGTAAGAGGAGCCTTATGTTCTATCTAAATACGAAGTAGGTACCTATGTACGTTGTGGTGCGGGTGGAGACTAGCATTTGTTTATTAGTTGAGCTCGAAAATTTAGCGGAGTGAAGCTACGGTACGGTATATAGGTTATCAACGTCAACACTTATTAATGAACAGTACTCGAGGAGAGAGAGTACGTAGTTGCAATGAATTTATTATATTGAATAATAATTTCAGAGATGTATGATGAGATGAGGCGGAGGTAATTCAATTAAGATTAAGATTCACGATTTCCAATTGTATTGGCGAGGGAAGGTTAAGTATAAGTTGAAATCAACCACACAATTCCTATATCAACGCGTTCAATCATATCCAGGTGGGTAATAAAGAGATTCCTTTCATTCCAACCAGATGCTTATAATGAACAAAATGATTGACATTGACGTTGGAGAAGAACATGATTCAATATTCGACTACCTAGATAGACATATAATGTCATTTTCGACTGGAATTCGAGAATCTGTTTGCGTCGAGGGGGTTTAATAGGATTCATTCTATCCCAAATATACTGAATAACAGAATTCATACCGAATACTAACAAGCATTCCAGATTGATACTGGAAAAAGGCATATGTCCGTTCAAACATTCACTCTTTGGGAAGGGACGTATTGTCTATGTCTCCTTCGTCATATTGAGCAAAGCGACCTCCTACCGGAAAGTTTATTTATCAACACCTGGCTTCTTTCTCGAGCGCAGCGAGCTATGGGGGTTTGGGGGCTTGGCCCCATTCTAGTTGGATCTGATGATTAAGATCAATGAAAAAGATCAATGGATGTATATCGTGCTATGCAAGTTGAGTAGTTGACTCAAGCTGGCCGATATCCAAGATCTTCGTCTACGGAATACATGAGTTTACTTCATCGATATTGGTTGAACGGAACTCCTGAATGGGAGAAAATATCCAATATCATAGATGTCTCTTTATGTCACGATACCACCGTATCTTGCATAGCTACGTACAGCTTCATTATATGTTATCAGACCTTTCACAATCTTTAAATACTATGGACAACTCATCTGTACCAGAGATCACTTTCACACACCTTCCATTCGTATCCCGGATACTAGAATTACTTGATACCACTTCCAACATACACCAAGAATATCATTGATGAATATCATTGATGAATATCATTGATGAATATCATTGATGAATATCATATACCCCAATGTTTCTTTGAACCTATTATTTTCTTGTCCGCATACCGAGAAATAGAAGCCCACAGAAGAACTTGTTTGGATACATGTCACTATACCCAAAAGGTAGTTGTAGGACAAAATGTTTGCAATTCCTCAATATACATTCACACAGTCGTAAAAGCCACTTACTCTTTCGGCCTTAAACAGAGAGCTATATGCGAAGTGTAGTAGCGACACCTCCCAGTACAATCAACATTTGACTGAAGCAATAAGGAAAACTCCTATACCTCCCTGCATGAGACGATGTTATTCGATCGACCATATGTGTAGTCACTTTATACTCCTACGCCTACCTCGTAGAAACATCACCACCCTCGTGTTCCCTTCAGCAAGAGAATAGGCAAAGTATCGAACAACAGAGAACTTAATCCAAACTATCGTACATGCTCATCTCGGTACCGCGGGTGACGGGTAACATCTCGAACTCGAACAATTTCGGATGAGATGGATATATCTTGGGGATTCGGCTTTTCCGGGGCGGTTTCACGGGGAGGAGTGGGTATAACAAGGTGGTGGGGAGTTCAGCATCGTTTCTGGTAGGTAGGAAACAAACGCACCCGTCTGAGCTCGGTGCAATGCAAGCACGCAAGGTTGAGCAACAGTTGGTGATAGCTAGGGTTGAGGATGTGATTGCTGAATAACTTTGCGGCGATGACCGCTTTTCATAGGTGGATCCCTAGATGAATACAGGAGTTGATATACCCAGTAGATATGTAATCTGCGAAGTATAATGAATACTCATCAGTGTTATCCCAACACCGAGGCTCTCCTCGAGTAGACATGCCTCTTCGAATAACCTTTGTAGAAATTGCCTCAGAAGCTGACCAAGCCAGACAATGCTATCCGTGCTAGCTACCTGTGTAGGTATCTGTTAGTCATTCTTATCCCGATCTCTTTGTAAAGCCAAAGCCAAATTCTGGCAGAGAGGGGTTGAACATTTTGAAACGATTCAAGTTAGATAATCCCTCTTTGATTGGAGCCGAGTGCATTGTGCATGGTACCTGGAGGCTTGCACGAAGGAGAGGAGATAACAGTCGCAAGCAAGCATTGGCACATAATACAGACCAGCTACAAAATGTTGAGTATGGATGGATGGGGATGCACAGAGATTGTATCAAACCGAAGCAATCTGAAGTTTGTGTCTCAATCGTCTCAATCGATCAATCTATCAATCTGCAATAACTCCGTGCCTACCTTGCACATCGTAGTTTGATTGCTTCTTGCCTACTTATTAGCATTTGCTGGGTTCCGGTATATCAAAGCGTAGGGGGCGGGGCTTTGCGCATATCTCGAGCCATCATCCCGCTACCTATCTCTGATCTCTGACCTCTGATCTCTGACTCCTCCCTCCAGCCGATATTATAAAATTCACTAATCCACCGGACATCGAAAAGTCTTAATTCTGATTTATTACTTACCAATCTATTTAACCTGACAATATTCATATTTTATCCCTTCGAAAATTAAACATCCCCATCAAAGTCCTATAAAATCAGAGACAACGGCGTACTCCATTCTTTGTCGGACTCTGCAAAGAGCGACTGCTAGAAATATCTTCAACTCATCGCGATTCCTTCGCAATCGATCCCTGCTATTCCGAAATTCGTCATCTAGACTTTGCTCTTCACCCAAAATCTCGAGAGTCTTTTCCACTTTTCCTCCAAATAACAACATACAACCTCCAAATCACCATTTGAAAATGACTGCCAACCCTGCCGCCCAGGTTATTCCTGCGCAAACTCTCGACAATTACACCTTCCCAACCGATCGCCTAAGACTCACTCAAAACCATCCCGAGAAGACTCCCTTAGTATTGGTAGCATGTGGCAGTTTCTCACCTATAACCTACCTTCATTTGCGAATGATGGAGATGGCTGCCGATTATTGCAAGTTTAATACAGAGTTTGAACTCCTTAGTGGTTACTTCTCACCTGTATCCAATTTTTATAAGAAGGCAGGTCTGGCAAGTTCGGAACACCGGTAAGTCTCAAATTTCACATTATGTTCATACATGTAGCTAACACCTGCAGACTCAACATGTGCGAATTGGCTGTACAATCATCAAATTGGCTTATGGTGGATCCTTGGGAGGCCTTACAAACAGAATATACCCCGACTGCCCTCGTACTCGACCATGTCGAGCATGAAATAAACAAAGTTATGGGCGGTGCTATACGACCGGATGGATCCCGAGTACCTGTCCGCATTGCTCTATTGGCTGGAGCTGATCTTATCGAAACGATGAGTATTCCAGGAGTTTGGAGTGAGGCTGATCTTCAACATATTTTGGGACAATATGGTACTTTCATTGTCGAACGTACCGGCACGGACATTGAGGACGCTCTTGCAAGTCTCGAACAATACAAACGCAACATCTACGTCATCCAACAACTTGTCACAAATGATATTAGTAGCACAAAGATTAGACTTTTCTTAAGGAAAGAGATGAGTGTACAGTATTTGTTACCCGCTCCAGTCATCGAGTACATCGAAGAACATCACCTTTACGAAGAGGATGGTGCATCATCCATTAGCGCAGGCAAATCCAAGACAGCAGAAGGGTCAGGCCGGGCGTCACCTGCAGTGGGAGATTCAAAGCTCAAGAATTAAGGAGGAAATTCATGATTGCGGAACGACTAGAGCGACAAGAACGAGTTATGATTATACGAACCAGTTACAACTGGAAAGTCATTCTTTCAGCCAGATAAACATATAATCTGGCTCTCATATCTGCGGCTTAACTTTCCAGGAACACTGGCAAAGACCGATTTCATGCATGTTAAAAATTCGATTGGATACCGATTTGGGATAAGGCGGGCATTTGAGCACTTCAGCCGGAGTTTAAGGAGCGTGTTTGGGATACGGTTTAATTTATCTTTTTACAGATTCTAGATGACTGGCAATTCGTGCCATCGACAGCATAATGTTATGAAGGACATATAGAATGAGTCTATAGAGCTCCATTACCAGCTTTACCAAACTTTGACCATTAGCATTGTCTCTCAACAGCGTGTTTAATCATACGTTTTGATGAGAAACCTTTGACATGAATTTGATGTGTAAAACGAAGCAATCTTTGAAAATATAGCAACCTACAAATCCGCATCAATGTGTAGATGGAAAGTCACAGACTCAACTGCTCGATTATGTAAACGGGTGAGAGAGTACCTTATGAATTTGTTGGCCATTGTGAAACAAGGATTCAAATGATACGCGAAGCTCTACGCCACATAGAACGACGAGCTAGAACTATGACAGCATTGGTTGGTGGCTGGGACGCATCTACAGTAAGACAACAATCATCAAGTAATTCCAACACAACAATACAATATCAAATCAATAATTTAATTATCGATCGTTACCCTAAATCAATAACTAAGTCATTGATTTGACATCTACTTTCATACTGCAAACCGTTCTCTGTGTACACTTACTCCATCCGATTCGCCTGTGTATCATCGACTCTCGGTCTTCGTATATCGCGACGCTGGGCGGCGCATGTAAACAGACTCAGTGATGCGGCATTCCTTCACTTTAGTCGGAATTCTCACTGCTGCTTTCGCAGCAGGCGAAGGGTTTACACCGAAACACGAAGCTGGAAGATGTTCGATAAGGGGCAGCTGTGGGAAGGATAGTTGGTTTGGTCCTGAGCTCCCTTGTCCGGATAACGGGCTTGCAAGGGAACCGGATCATGATGTGAGGAAACAACTGGTCGAGCTATGCGGTCCGAAATGGAGTACGGGGCCTGTTTGTTGTGAGGGAAGTCAGGTATGTGGCAATCCTTGAAATGGGTCGGGACTTTGCTGATGGCTTCGCAGATAGATGCTCTTGCAGATCAGATCAAGAAGGCGAACCCAATTATATCCTCTTGCCCGGCATGCAAGGAGAATTTTTACAACACTTTTTGTACATTTACATGCTCTCCAGATCAATCTCTCTTCCTGAACGTAACGGAAACACAGAAGAAGGGCGATAAATACATCGTCAAGGAGCTAGACCAACTCATCTCTGATGATTATGGGTCGGGTTTCTTTGATAGCTGCAAAGATGTTAAGTTTGGACCAACAAATTCCAATGCCATGGAATTTATTGGAGGAGGAGCAAAGAACTACTCTTCATTCTTGGCTTTCCTAGGACACAAATCTTTACTAGGCTCGCCATTTCAGATTAACTTTCCAGACCCTAGCAAATATTCGGAGAAAGGGATGGATCCATTACCTATGGTACCCAAGAAGTGTAACGACGAAGACCCAAACTTCCGATGTTCTTGTGTGGACTGTCCCGCAGTCTGCCCGGCTTTGCCAGAAGTTTCAAAGTCTGGGTCATGCCATGTTGGATTGCTGCCATGTCTTTCTTTCGCAGCTATCTTCACATACAGCATGGTACTACTTTTGATCGCCGTTGCTGTGTTTGGTCACATAGCTTGGGCTAAGCATACCAAAAGACGTAATGAAAGATTACGACTTTTGGAAGATGTTGCCCCAAGTGATGATGATGATGAAGGTGACATGATCCACAATAGAGCCATGTATGACCGACCTCAAAGAACTTATTGGATTAATACGGTCTGTGATACTGCATTCAGTCGTCTGGGCTTCACAGCTGCAAGATTTCCAGCTATCACTATTGTAACAAGCATAATCATAGTTGGAATTTTGAGTTTAGGTTGGACAAAATTTGAGATTGAACAGAATCCTGCACGTCTGTGGGTCAGCCCATCATCCTCTGCTGCCCAAGAGAAAGCTTATTTCGATTCGAATTTTGGACCATTTTATCGTGCCGAGCAAGTATTCTTGGTCAACGATACTAACCCATCAGGTCCTGGTCCTGTTATGAGTTACGATACGTTGAAATGGTGGCTTGAAGCTGAAGACCGAATTAGAGGGCTAACTGGAAAACAAACTGGTACCAAATTCAGTGATGTATGCGTGAAGCCCACTGGTGATGCTTGTGTCGTTCAATCTGTAGGAGGTTACTTGAACGACGATATTTCCAGTGTAGGCCCGGATACATGGGAGCAAACCATTCGATCCTGTGCTGAATCACCCGTGAATTGCCGTCCTGCTTTTGGTCAACCGTTAGATCCTAAGATGATCTTTGGTGATTGGCAAGAATCTGGTGATGTTATTGATGCTACTGCCCTCATTATCACTTGGGTAGTGAGAAATGATGATGAAGGGTCTTCTCAAGTCGAACATGCTATGGATTGGGAGGCATCCCTTCGAGATGAGTTGTTACGCTTGCAGGTCGAAGCAAGCGAACGTGGTTTAAGACTTTCTTTCTCGACTGAGATAAGTCTCGAGCAAGAACTTAATAAATCCACCAACACTGATGCAAAAATTGTCGTCATTAGTTACATCATCATGTTCTTCTACGCATCTTTAGCTCTTGGCTCGACAACCATTTCATTCCAAACATTAATGCACAATCCAGCCAGCTCTTTGGTCCAATCTAAGTTCTCACTAGGAGTAGTGGGTATTATGATTGTGCTGATGTCTATCTCAGCCTCAATTGGTCTATTCTCCTTTGCAGGCGTCAAGGTTACGCTTATCATTGCCGAGGTTATCCCATTCATCGTTCTTGCAGTTGGTGTCGATAACATCTTTTTGATTGTACACGAATTTGAAAGAGTTAATACTAGCCATCCTGATGAAGTGGTTGAGCATCGTATTGCCAAAGCACTTGGAAGAATGGGTCCATCAATTCTTCTCTCAGCATCTACTGAGACTATTGCATTTGCCCTTGGAGCTTTTGTTGGTATGCCGGCAGTTCGAAACTTTGCAATTTATGCTGCAGGCGCAGTATTCATCAATGCTGTTCTACAAATCACCATGTTTGTTTCTATTCTCAGTCTCAATCAACGACGTGTTGAGGATCGTCGTGTAGATTGCGTTCCTTGCATCCAGATCAAAACTGCGGGAGTTCACCTTGGAAATGGCAACGGCAATTCTTACTCGAGATTTTACGAAGGTTCTGATGAGGGTTTCCTTCAAAAGTTTATCCGCAAGACTTATGCCCCAACTTTGCTTGGTCGTAAAGTAAAGACCGCTGTCATCGTTGTCTTTCTTGGAATATTCGCCGCTGCGGTTGCATTAATGCCTGAAGTCGCTTTAGGTTTAGATCAACGTGTGGCAATTCCAGACGGATCATATCTCATTCCATACTTCAATGACTTGTACGCTTACTTTGATTCGGGACCACCAGTATATTTCGTTACTCGGGAGTTGAATGTCACCGAACGCAGCCATCAACAACAGCTATGCTCTCGCTTCACAACATGCGAAACAGAATCCCTTACCAATATTTTGGAGTCCGAAAGAAAGAGGCCAGAAGTTTCCTACATCGCAGCTACTCCTGCTAGCTGGATCGACGACTATCTCCGTTGGCTCGATCCTTCATTAGACTCTTGTTGTGTTGAAGGTCGTTCAGCTTGCTTCGAACATCGTGATCCAGCATGGAATATTACCTTGCATGGTATGCCCGAAGGTCAAGAATTTATTCATTACCTAGAAAAATGGATCGCTTCTCCCACTGATGATGACTGTCCTCTTGGCGGTCAGGCTGCATATGGAAACGCCTTAGTTATTGATGTAGAAAGAGATACCATTCCAGCAAGTCACTTCCGCACGAGTCACACACCACTCCACAGCCAAGAAGATTTCATTGCCGCTTATGCCTCTGCTCGTCGAATCGCAGATGGTATGAGTGAAAAGTCTGGTCTAGAAGTCTTCCCCTACAGTGTCTACTACATATTCTTCGATCAATACACCACAATTATCAGTCTCACAGCAACTCTCCTCTGTTCCGCTTTGGTACTCATTCTATTCATCTCTTCAATTCTTCTTGGATCTCTCAAAACAGGCGCAGTAGTCACAGTAACAGTGATAATGATAGTCACCGATATTATCGGTACAATGGCTGTTTTCAACGTCTCTCTCAACGCAGTCAGTCTCGTCAACCTCATCATCTGCGTCGGTATCGGCGTGGAATTCTGCGCCCATATCGCCCGCGCATTCATGTTCCCCTCGCGCTCAGTTATGGAAAAGGCCAAAAACAAGTTCCGCGATAAGGACGCGCGCGCTTGGACCGCTCTTGTAAATGTAGGTGGCTCAGTCTTCAGCGGTATCACGATTACGAAACTGGTAGGTGTCACGGTGCTGGCGTTTACGAGGAGTAAAATCTTTGAGATTTATTATTTCAGAATTTGGCTTGCGTTAGTCATTTTTGCGGCGTTGCATGCGTTGGTTTTCTTGCCTGTGGCGCTTAGTTTAGCGGGCGGAGAGGGCTATAGAGATAGTGGTGATGAAGGGGGATTGGAGGAGGATTTGGCGGAAAGAAGATATAGAGCGCTTTTGCCGGATGATGAGAGTGATGATGAGTATTAGATTCGGGATCAATGGATGACGCAATGGAGGTGGATGCTTCATGCATCGTGGATCATATCATAGACTCGAAGCTGGGGTTGGAGTCGGAGTCGGAGTTGGAGAGATGTAGCAGAGAAGATAAATTTGTCATAAATACATGAGAGAACGTTTTCGTGAGGGGGTGGATGATACATATCTGTATGTATGGCGTATGGGGATTTGATGAAGTGTTCAGGGGTTCGGTGAGGAGATTGTGGGAGGGAGAAATGGAGGGATGGTAATGAGCTTGCCTGATTGGGCTATTACTAGTATACATACATGTATAGAAGGGAAGACGAATGTTAGGATGGATGGAAGGATCGGTGGGTAGGTACACAGCGTAATAATCGAGATCATAGCAATCAGAAATCAGGAATCAGTAACGAAATCTATTCTCCACTCGCAGTACCTGTTTACCTATTTTTTGATGCGCTGGTGTTTTGTGAGATGCTGAGATGTATTTTATATATGTAGGAATATGCATAACACAAGTCTAAACATCATACTAGCTATCGATCTATATCTATTTATATCTATCCCCATTTCAGTCCATTCCAATCCATTTTTGAAATGTAAAAGTGTAAGAGTGTATCTATATATATATATCTAAAAAGAAAGAATGTTTCTAGAATCTATAAACGGTGTTAGGTTTGGAGATGAGATTTGGATTTGAATTTTTCCGTGAGCTTCGTGAGCTATGATGATTTGTGGATGTGTATGAATGAGCGGATGATGATGAGTAGATGAGTGTGTATAGAATGGAAGGGTGCATGGACGGGTATATAGATTTACTACTAGATACCTACCTAGGTATATGTGATAGAAGGATGGAACAATCAAAGCAATGAATCAAATGAATTAAAAAAGGAAGTAGAAAATTTAAGAAAGTGAGAATCGCAAACTATACCATCTAATACATAGGTACCTAACTATTTTTTCCACAAATATGTCATCATAATCATAATTATTATTATATTCAACAGTCTAGGGCTATTTATTCTCTCTCCCTTCCCCTCACCCCCCATTGTAAGATTACCTGTGAGCGAGTGAGCGGACTTCTGCAATTCGTCACTCATCTCTTCGTTAAAAAAATGAATAAAAATTAGACGTGGAATCTCCCCGGTGAGGGTGAGTAGGTTCGATTGTATATATCATATCAAGTACCTACCCAGGTCTTTGAGTATCTCCCTCTCTTCCACGCGAAACTTCTCCCAGTGCTGAGTTATTGATGGGTTTCATGAATCATGCGGCGAGATCATCGATTCATCGCTTGAAGAATCAAGTACAATAAAACACATCAAACTATAGTAAAATCCTTGAATTCATTTCTCTGTCTATTTATCTATCTTTTCATTACCGAGTTCTATACAGTAGATGCTTACTCAAGAAACTTTTGACTGATGAGTCCATATATCTACCACCCTACCAATTATTGTTTCCCCGACTCAGAGTTTATAACCTAGAGATTTATTCTCTTCAGATTGTTTCCCATCTTCGCAACTCCCTTCCTTCCCAAAACACAAATCAACACAATTCAATCCTTCACCTCTCCATCTACATCTCCACCCTCATCTACCCCACGCAATCCAAAAACCCCCTTCCCCACCCAAATCTCCTCGTCATTCTCCTCCCTATACACCTCAACATAACCGGATCAACTTTCGCCACCGGATGCGGTCTATGAAAATTGATTTTCCCGCTACGGTTTGCGAATATTCTCTCTCCATCCTCCTCCATATTTCCTTCTCCCGGTCCCTCAAACTCCCTCTCAAATTCCACTGAACTACCCCCTTTATTCCGCGCACAAAATCCCATGTCAGACATACTATGTACGAAAAGATCCCATTCGATACTCTTTGTGGATGCGTCTTCGGCGGTGCAGGGATACAGATGAGAAAGCATTTCATAAGCGCGTTTCGTGACGAAAATTTTGGGGGGTGGGGAGGGAGAGATAGTTGCGTTTTCTAAGTGGTTGGCGAGGTCTTGGAGATTGGTTGGGGAGGGATGAGTACTGTTACAGGGGCGAGTTTTATCTTTTGCTTTTGTTTGGGTTGGGAGGGTTGAAGTTGAATCTTCCGTGCCCCAAGTTGTTTGTGTTGGTGTTTTGGCATATTTCTGGTTCTTTTGACTGTTGTTGTTGTCCTGGTTCCATTCGATCTGGGCTAGTAGCTGCTGTTACTCGGCCTGGGTGGCACTTAGGTATTCTTGAGTAGTGGTGGCACTGATATACTCAATCTCTTCAATTGCCTCGTCTTCGGTAAAACCATTCTGTTTCCAAACCATCAAACTGTCCTTCCTGATGCCCTGCCAGAATGCTTCCAGTGCTTTCCTAGTGTTTTGAGAGTGATTCAACCAAGCCATGTCCTTTCACCAGTGAGGGCTTTAACCTCGTGGAAATTCTTGAGAAAAGCTTTTCCTAGCTTGGTACAAGCGTCATTAGTAAAATGACTTTTGACATTAAAGGCCCTCCAAGTTTTTCGCTTTCTGACTGTAGCACCTCATCCAAAGTTCTAGGTCTACTTAGGGGTCGATGTAAACGAATGGCAGCCAACATTTCATGAGAAGTTGCTAGATCTGAGAGGAGATTTGATAAGACCTCGTCTAGGCGAGACTTTTCTTTGATATTGCTTTTAGCCAGGTGATCCTCTAAAATCGAAAATAACAATGCATGATCTATGGATACTTCTTTTGGCCATGTGTTTTGCTTTTGTTGAATGTCCGGTCTGGCTTGCAGTTGAAATAGACAATAATCTAAAGGATCGTTTTCGAACATATGTTTTGCATCTGAAAGTAGGCCATCTTTCCGTCGCCACTCGATGATATCAGGTCCTTGCTTTTGGGCCTCTCTTTTTGCTAGATAACGATGAGAGAATCCAGGCTGTTGTGGGGTTGTGCTTCCAAGAAGAGCGCCACGACGGTTAACGTCATTCACCACCAAGAGTCTGAATAGCAAAAGTTAGTGTCAATTACTTCGAAATTAATGCCGATAAAAGAAAATTCTAATTCGCTTACTCCAATGCGCTCAACGCTTTGTCATATCTTGACGGAAGATCTTCGCCTTGTGCAATATTGTCTCGAAATCGATCATGAATTGATTTGACACGTTCGCATTCATTCTTTACCCAGCCCCACCTCCAGCATGATTCGATGGCTTGAAGGATTCTGCGTACAACCAGCCAACTAGCTCCAGTATCTCTTGTCAACTCATAGGAAGCCAAAGATGATCAATGGTTGCGTCTAATCGCGTTTGTGCTAAAGAGATCAGGTTGGCGAGAAGAAACGATGGGGGGTGATGAGAATGCTTGATTGGTATAAGGTGATCACAATTCCGCGAAATTACTATGCCTAAATCCCATTGAAACCATAGAAATCCACTTTTCCACTGCAAGTGGCGTGTTTTTATCGATTCCTTGGAGTATGCCGTCAACAACTTTCCGAAGTGATGTCACCAGATAGGCTTGAGCTTCGAGAAAAAGGCGTGCCCTGGGGAACCTAAGAATATCCCTCTATGTGCCGGGCCAGCTTTCCAGTCTACCACCTCCCCGTACCTGAGACCATACATCGCAATACATTTGGCAGAAAAGTCAACGTCGAAGTGTGGACACAGAAAAGGACTATATATTTGTCGTGAATCGAACGAAGCCCAGTCCTGAGGAGCATACGCCGTTCGATTATGCAGCAAGGCAAAAAGAACAGCGGGGTTAGTTTTGAGGACTTCTAAATCCAACCAATTTAGGAGGAGGTGATTGCGAGTTTCGAGAGAGCGCAGTTCCATTTGACCATCGCTATTAATGGGCGGGATCTCTTTGCCTTCAGGGGTGAAACCATGACGTGGGATGATCCACCTCTTCTTGCACAAATTTGGAATGGCTTCAAGTAGCAGCGCCTGACGTTTGTCTTGACTCTTCTTCTTCCATCGACTAACAATGATATTCCCATACTTCGCGAGGCTATCCATTAAATATTCGCGATCTCGTTGTATAACGTTGATGTATGAAGCAGCAATTTGTTTGGCTTCATCGCTGGAAAGTGAGCGTCGATAAAACCAGCCAGGATGCATTTGCTCTTCGCATGTATAGTAGCCTTGTTCACAATCGGCACAAGTACCTGCAGCATTGGAAATTTAGTAATAGTCCTACAAGATAGTGCTCTCGAGTGAGGCGAATTTGAAATTTGAGCCGCACTGAGAAGAGAAGACAAAATAATCACACAGGATTTGAGATGGAATGTATGAACTCAGAAAAAAGTACTTGCTCTTACTCACATGGCGGGCTGCAGATAGCTGCTTTGACTTCCTCTGAGTGCATGGCCAGGTTGTGGGAGGTGCTACTAATAAGCAGAACCTCTAATCTTCGATAAGGTGCGTCGATGGCACGGCTGCCATAAAGCCTTGGAAATTTTCGTTGCATCTTTATTGATTCGATATATGAGTGATTGTAGATTTTATCAATTAACCAAATAACCTTCTCTATCTAATTCAAGTAGTTGAAATGACCATTCACAACAGAGCTTTTCGTCTTTGGTGGTTCAGTCCAGAAAATGAGACCAAATACTAATAAGGAATGGAGTTTCTTTTTGAAATGAAAAGTGGTGGGGAAGTTCTCGCGACAATATTGTTGAACCAAATCACTGAGGCAACCACGTGGAGAGTATCTATTCGCCCAAAGCTCGTTGACCTATATTCGTCTAATATGTTTGAGATGGGATATCTCGCGGACGCCTGCGATGGGTTTGACTCAGTATCTCTGTCTTCTAAGAGCTCGCCATCGAAAGTTGCGAGGCGCGGATTTGACCCCATATCAGAGTTCGAGAACAGTACATTAGCGTGATCCCCGAGCCTTTTAAATGATATTGCACAGCATAAGAGAAGAAGGCACCTATGATTCTCGAGTAAGTAAGGTACTGGAGATGAACGATGGAGTAAAGGGACAAGGAGCAATGGTATTGCAGCTTCTCCCCATCAAAAACGTGGGTCTGTAATTGAGGTAGTTGCCTATCACATAACCCAAAATCCAGCGATTGCCAGTTTTTGATACGAATAATACTACAGCGGTGACGGCAAATGTCAAAGTGGAGTTGATGGAAATGCTCAATGTAATCCGAAGCCTCAGTTTGCTTGAAACCTGATGAGAGATTTGACTGTGGGATATCGGGTTGATTGATTCGAATACCGAGTGGTTATCAGGACCTTCCAAATTATCACCTACACAGAGAATTTAGACATGTGGGGGTGTAAGCTGCGCGGGTTTCGATGATATATTCCGCGGAGCCAAGAATCAAAGACTTGAATCTATTGAACACGTTTATGATAGCCCTTTCCAAGACTTGGGAAAGAAAGAATGATTGTTGGAAAACATCAAGGAAGATAACGATTGAGTTAATCTCCGTGGATTGCTCAGCAACTTCGCTCACACTGTCTTCACAAGGGGAGAGTGGTGCCTTGAGGATTCGACTCGAGGAGAATGTTTATGGCGATGTTTCAAGGGTCCTGTGAGATAGAATAGATAAAACCATCATACTAGAGGTGTACGGCGTGTATCTCTTGCGCAGTGAACTATCCAAATCAACATCTAATCGAGATGGGATCTATTTTGAATCTTCCGCGCCACATATGCATCAACCTCACACAAGATGGTCACTACCAGCTATCGAATGCAATCATCTCGCCCGTCATGGATTGCCCGGTCTATGGGGCAAACATACACCATTGTGCATTGTAAATGAACAAGTGTTTGAAGATCAATGACAAAAAGGAAAATCATGTCAATCTAGACAACTTGTCCATTGATGAAGATATACTCTGAATGTCTGTGGGAGTGAAGGGTTGTAAGCGTATTGTGAAAGACAGCACGCATGAATTGAGTTTGACCAGGAAAGCCGTGGAAGTTCTGTTAGTTCTTAAGTTTCATATCCCACATATAATGTTGCCACTGTATCAATCGGCATCATTCTATTATTGGAAGGTGCTTCTCCTCTCATTGAAGTAGTTGCGATGTTCGTCATCCCTACGCTTGATATGATGGTGAATGCACGGACTCATGGAATTCATGAGAAGACTCTGATTTGGTTCATACCAGAAGATACATGGAGATACTCTCGTTGTCTATTATACGGTAGATTATTATGATAACGAAGCTGGAGAGTATTCGAGAGAGATTTCTAAAGTTGTCATCGACATCAAAGTCTCAAGGTCTCGATGTTGCATGAATCCATGCCGTCACTCAGTCAATTTTGCTTATTAATATTTCACCCCTATATAGCGTCTCCTCGCTGATAAGATAGCCAGTCAGCCAGCTTCGATATGTGGTGCCCTTTGATTTCTCGGCTCATGACTTCGTCATCGTTCGAAATCCCACCACTTCATTCTTCCCTTAGTGAGTAGAACAAAAACTTTAATATTACCTATCTACTTGAACTTGAGAAATACCACAGAAAATGTCAATCTCCCATAGAATCATGTTACATATTTATGATTTTGCTTCTCTTACATCTATTTATAACAATTTATTTCCAACAGAATCTCCCTGAATATTGGTTTGAGTGAAAGAAAAAGAAAGAAAGAGTTTATTGATAGAAAAAAGAGTGAATTGTGTTGTGTCTGCATACGGAATTGGAAGAGAAGAACCAGCATCGAAATTTGCTTTGCATTGCCGCAATTATGGTGAATACTCAAGAGCTTCTGGCTCAAATGGAGGTATGTAATTCTTGAATTCATTCACTATCTCAATTCATTTTGACTTTTCTATTTTTTGTGTTGTATGCGTTGTTGACAAATTACATAGTCAGAATATTGTCCCCCACTCGATAACAGTACATTTCGTGCAATAATTGCAGATTACGATCTTTCCGATAAAGAGCAAATTGAGGCTGCGCGCATGGTTTTAGACATGATAAGGAAAGATGCAGAGTTTGAAGAAGCTACTGGCTTCGATCCTAGTGGAACTTGGGGCGGAACATACACAAATAGAGGGGAAACTTCAGCAGAGCAAAATTCGCAGAATGGCAATAGCAGAAATGATGATGCGAGCACAAGTAGTAAAAGTGTACCTGGATGGAGTAGTTCTACAGACGATACATTGAGTCGAAGAACGTCTTCAATAGATCTTTTAGAAGGATTGGACTTTCCCGGCAATGAAGATACTTATAAGGGGACCGACTTTACGGATTCTCTTGAGGGAATGGATGTGGATAGTCAAGAGAATTTCTTGCTTGCAACTTTCAAGACTCTGAAGCCTTTTGATGTCAAATATTCCCTAAAGAAGTCCAAAGGAAATGTTAATTTGGCAATCGAGGATTTGCTCAATTTATCCTTCCTCGAGGAAACAGGATCGAGGAGACGCGGTATTGAAGCTTTCTCTGAATGTTCCGCATCACCCAAAACCCGCAAACAAAAAGGGAAGAGAAAAGGTCGAAAGACTGAAGCCTCTGAAAGCAGTTCTATTACAGACGACTCGCCCCTTACTGCTGAAGCGAGTAAATGGGAGACGGGTAGAAAAGATGTCGAATTTCTATCTACTAGAACCGGCTTACCGATGCAACAAATTACTTCATTGTACCGCAATAATGGAGCATCTGTCAAAGCGACAATCTTATCAATTATCGAAAACTACCCTGCCACTGATATGGAAGAGGAAGACCCAATAATCGAAGTTCAAGCAATGGAGCTAGGGGAAGCTTTTCCTTCAGTGAAGCCCTCCTATATACTCGTTCTCACTCAAATGACATATCCATATACAGCCAATGCACGCGAATTGGCAAATGCACTCATATCGACTCCCGTCTCCAAATCTGGTAAACCAAACCTTCAACTCGAAATTCGACATGCGCCCCTCATTATTGATCCCTCACCTACGGCTTTATCCGCTTCAAAACAATACTCTTTGAACGCCATCTACCCCACCCATTCCACCTCGTCTAATCCTGGTACACCACTCTCCCCCTCCACAGATGCAGGCCCTCACATCAACGCCCGCAACACTGCTTTCCAAAAAGCATCTGCTGCATACAAAAAATCCAGATCTAACCCTCTGATGGGCGGCGCAGCAGCTTATTACTCTCAACAAGGTCGAGATGCCAACGTCCGTGTTAAAGATGCTGAAAGTGCTGCAGCGGACGAATTAGTCATGAGTCAATGCTGGAACGGTGGTATAGATTTACACGGAGTTGGAGTCCGGGACGCAGTGAGAATTGCAAGAGAGAAAGTCACCATGTGGTGGGTCTCAGAGGAACGGAGGAGACTCGGCGGTGGATACATACGAGCGGGACCACAAGAAGGATTTAAAATCGTAACGGGTGTGGGAAATCATAGTGAAGGTGGTAAAGGGAAGTTAGGACCTGCAGTAGCGAGAATGTTGATTAAAGAGGGGTGGAAAGTACAGGTTGGGAGTGGTTCCTTGCTTGTTACGGGGGTAGCGAGGAAGTAGAAATATCCTTGGTAGATATTTTTAGTGGATATGTTTCTTTGGAGGTATAAAAGTAGGCGTACTTGATGGGGTCGTTTGGTCATCAGTTAACGACAAAAGGCGTTTTCAGCGGCTGCGTGGGTGGAGGATGGAGTTTGGATAGCTTCTCAGCGGACATTGTTTTGTTTATGAATATGAGGGTATAAAGTCTATTAACATTTTATGTATAGATAGATTTTATGAGCACCATCAGAGAAGATTAATATACTCACATTTTGTATAAAAGTATCCGAGTAACGATGGTCATGTTGAAGTAGGTGAGCACGATGAGGAGTTTCTGTAAATGCAAATGCTATGCCTCAAGTACCTAGATAGGTATCTATTGTATCTCTCGCTAATGCGTGCTAGTGCTAATGCTAATGTACTCTCAATTCTACAATCATAATCCCATAATCTCATCTATGCAACCACTCCCTTCCTCCCTCTCTCACAAAATACATTTCCAAAATCGTCCATTCCCTCACTTCAAACTACCTATACCCCCTTCAAACTCACGCACATCATACTCCTCTGGATATTCCTCCATCACCGTCCTCAATTCCTCCATCTGACTCTTCAACTCGGGCGTCATCTCTTTATACACATCCTCAAACATACTTTTTATCGGCGGTTTCTTCTCCTTCTCCGCCTCACTCAGTTTCTTCAAAACTTCCTTTTTAATATTCGTCCTTGCTTCGATTTCCTTGGCTTCATCCCATACATTTCTCTTTTCCAAGTACTTCCGCAGCCGCGTGATCGGATTATCTCTGCGTTTCCAATCTTCGACTTCGACGCGCGCACGGTACGCGAAGGAATCATCCGAGGTGCTGTGGTGGGAAATGCGATAGGACATTGCTTCGATGAGGACGGGGCGTCCGCCATCGGTGAGCGCCAGCTCGCGCGCTTTCTTCGTCACTTGGAGCACGGCCCAGATGTCGTTGCCGTCGACGCGAATCGTGTCGATTCCGTAGCCGGTGCCGCGGCTGGCGATGCCGTCGCCGCGGTATTGTTCGAGCGTGGGGGTGGAGATGGCGTACCCGTTGTTGCGGCAGATGAAGATCACGGGACAGGAGCGCGTAGCGGCTATGTTGAGGGCGCCGTGGAAATCTCCTTCTGAGGCGGCTCCTTCGCCAAAATAGCAGGCTACGACTCGGGGAGGGAGAGAGGGATTTTGGAGACGTTGGAGTTTTAATGCGTAGGCTGCTCCTGAGGCATGGGGGATTTGAGTTGCGAGAGGAGAGGAGATAGCGTGCTGTGTTTTGTTAGCTATTTGGATTGTATTCCTTCTCATTTTTCATGACAGGTTTGGGCAATATCAGAAGAAAACTCACAATATTTAACTCCTTACTTCCATAGTGGACAGGCATATTCCTGCCCTTCCCTTTATCCTTCCTATTGGCGAATAACTGACTCATAAACTCCTCCAGCGTATATCCCCTCTGCATAAACACACCCGCCTCTCTATACTGACTGAAAATCACATCGTCCTTCTCCAGCGCTGCCGCCGATCCCACACAAGTACCTTCTTCGCCCTGACTCGGCATGTAAAAGCTCAATCGACCTTGTCGCTGTGCTTCGACCATTATAACATCCATAATAGATACTTTTATCATGTTGAGATACATTTCTAACGCAGCTTCATCGGAGGGGAGAACGGCAGATGGATCGAGAATGTCGCCATCGGGGGACATGGTGCGGTAGGTAGGGATAGCGGTGTAGGTAGAGGGGTGTTCGAAAGAAAGGGAGGAAGTAAATTTACTGTCTACTGCTCCGGGGAAGCGTACTCTATGTTTTTTATTAGCAATTGATGCTCTGTTTCAAATCAATCGAAACTCACCCTGCAGAACCAGGTTTCTGACTTGGTCCCACTGTAGAATGGCATCTTGACGACCATATTCCATGAGTTTTGCTTCTCAAAGAAGATGTAGGTATTCCTCCCCTCTTACTTCCCCACAAAAGACATCCTCCAATTCTCTGTGAATTCATAATTGTTTGCTTATCTGACTTCAGTGATCAATCAACAATCTCACACCTAAATCTCAATATAACATTCCCAAGCAGCAAATTGAATGTTTCCAATAATTGATTCGAAAACATAAAGAAGAAATCTTCAGCATCATTTCAATACCAACCGGTACCTTCTTAAATACAAAACAAAAAGAGCGTCCGGCACAAGAAAGATCAACACAGATACTGGGGACTCCAACCGTGCTAAAACACTGGGGACCAAGGCTGAAATCTGGGGTAATGCCGTCGATAACCGATCCACTCCCATCCCTTGTTCGCTAGCTTCCTTCTTCATCAAACCACTAGCCGGAGAAAAAACTTGGCAAGGCTGACGAGGCGAGAAATTTATCGGAATTTGGAAAGACTTGGGGCACTTTTTGTATTCCCATTGTTTCATAATTCCCGTCTACTTCTTGTACCTACCACGAAATCATAGTCATTTACTTCAAAATGGCTTGTAGATCAGCACTCAGACCTTTAACAAGGTCCGCTAGATCTCAATTCGCTTCGAGATGTTTTTCCACTTCGAGTTCGATACGTCAAGCAGATTCATCCTCGACACAAACATCGTCTGCGGGTGCATCGAATAGTGATAATGGACGAACCACACATTTTGGATTTCAAACTGTGCCGGAGGCGGAGAAGGAAGCTAGAGGTGTGTTCAATGGCTTCGATAATCAATGGAGCAGCGATTAGATTGCATGAACGAAAGCTAATTCGTACATCGTGATGAATAGTCGCGGGAGTCTTCAGTAATGTGGCAGCCTCGTACGATACCATGAATGACTTTATGTCATTGGGGATTCACAGATTATGGAAGTATGTTTATTCTTTTTTACATTCTTTTATTTAATCTAGACAGTCTTTCCACATGTATACATTCCATTTACTAATCCCATCCCCAGAGACCACTTCGTGCGCTCCATTAACCCCGGTTTCACCCCTCCTACCTCCTCTACCTCCTCCCCTCCCCGAGGCTGGAAAATGCTCGACATAGCCGGCGGCACCGGCGACATCGCCTTCCGCCTCCTCGACCACGCAACCAACATCAACAAATCCCCCTCCTCCAGCATAACCATATCCGACATCAACCCTGAGATGCTAGCCGAAGGGCGCAAACGCTCTCTCCAAACCTCCTATGCCCATTCACCGCGTCTCAATTTCCTGCTCGCAAACGCCGAGTCTCTGCCCATGGTACCCTCCAATTCTCTAGATCTCTACACCGTCGCCTTCGGAATCCGTAATTTCACAAATAAAGCCGCGGCGTTGCGGGAAGCGCACCGTGTATTGAAACCCGGTGGACTTTTCGCCTGTTTAGAATTCTCGGATGTGACCAATCCGTTGTTTAATGCCATTTATAAACAATGGAGTTTCTCGGCGATACCATTGATTGGCCAATTGGTGGCGGGAGATAGAGATAGTTATCAGTACTTGGTAGAGAGTATTGAGAAGTTCCCCAAACAGGAGGAATTCAGGGATATGATCAAGGAAGCCGGATTTGTGGTTCCTGGAAAAGGATGGGAGGACTTGACAGGTGGAATTGCAGCAATCCATAAGGGCATTAAACCTCTAGAGAAGTAGACAAGGGAATGACTACATCTGCTACACATCCGCTTCGATGTGGTATTGTCTCTATGAGCTTGAATCATTCCGACTCTCAAGTAAATCATGTTACAAGATCTGTAAAACTCCACCATGTAGAATATATATACACATTGTTGTACGATACCATAAACTGCAAATATCACAATGGAAATTTCAAACACATTTACTAAATTTTAATTGATGTTTTCTATGCGTCTGCAATCATTTGACAACCAAACCCGTTCTGACACCTCGCAACCACCAACCTTTCAATTCTCATGTTTCCCCTATGGAAATTTAAGGCAAAGACTAGAATACATGTGCAGCGCTATTCATAGATTCGTTCGGAATATCTCATTCCATAATGAGATCCATGATATGATGCGACTCAAAGCTACCCGTATCAAAAGTACAGATGCAGAGGAAATAGAACGAGCTAGTAGCCATCATCGCCTGCACACAAATAAAGGTAGGAACCGTGAAGTGTGAGCAAATGTTTTTAACTCCACTCCGGTACCTTAAATATTTTTATGAGGACGAAAAAAAAGCCGAAATAGTAATATGGCTGAGCCTCTGTCAAGATAGATATCTTCTGTTCACAATAAGTGACCGTTTAGAAGATGTACTGTACGAGAAACATGACTTTTTGGTGCGAGAAAATAATGAAAACTGGTGATGTATGATGTCCGATATTATCGTTGATCAAGAGTCACCTCCTGCTGGTGTAGCTGAAGCTAGAGCAGGGGATGCTCCACCTTCCTTATTGAAGCCACCTCGTCCGCCACGTCCCCCTCTGCCTCTTTCATTTCCTCTCCCACGGCTAGATCCACCTCGACCGCCCCGACCGCCTCGACCACCTTCGCTATCGCTAGCACCCCCACTTCCGTAACCACCTCGGGGAGCACTGCTATTTCCACCTCTGCTGCTACCCCAACTGCCGGCACCTCCACGGCTTGAAGAGTAAGACTTTGTATTGTCTCTAGCCTGGAATAACTTTACCAAAGGTCTTGAGCGATCCTCACTGCTGCGTTGTGTGACCTCTGCAGGTAGACGACCTAGAGCATCGTCTCTCTCCTGAGTTGTCTTGAAGACGGCAACCTTGTTGGATGCACCCCATTTATCGACTCGGATAATCTTTGCCTTGTCATCGTCGTGAAACAAATCGCGGACGTGATCTTCCGAGTTTACATTCATAACGAAGAGACCAATAATTTGTTCGGCAGAAGGCTTAGCTGCTGGGGATGAGCTTTCTGTACCATTTGTGGTCGCGGGAGTCTTCTCATCCTCTTTGGCAGATGGTAAGTTAACAACATTGTTTTGAGCTGGTTGTGGTGTGGCAGGCTTGGCTTGGAATGGAGCTGGCGACTCTGCGGTACGTTCAGGACCAGCTGGTGGAGCTCTGCTTTGTTGTTGAGCTTGTCCTCGTTGGCCGAAGGGTTGCGCTGGAGGTTGTGCGGCAGGTGAACGCTGAGCTGGCCCAGTAGGTGGTGCAGAGGATACAAGATTTTGGCTTGATCCAGGTGTTCCAGAGCCGGTCGCAGGTGCTTGTGCTTGTTGCTGTTGGTGACCTGGATGTTGCTTTGCACCTCGATGAGCGAAGTTGAATCCCTGAGCTCGCATTTCGGTACCGATACGCCCATCTTGAACTTCCAAAACCAGCCATCCAAAGGCAGCATCAGCTAAGTTAAAGTTCCACATATTTTTGAAAGCACTTTCGTCAACTTGACCCAAAGTAGCGGCATTAGAACCGCCAACGGGGCCGCCGAATGGGTTACCTCCATGTGCGGTGCTTGGCATCTTCTCTACAATGCCAAGTGCGTTGTTAAGAAGGTTTTGTTGCGCTTCGTTTTGAGAAATGGCCGGTTGAACTTCGCTCTTGACTGTCTCCCATACGTCATTGAAGGAAGCTTTGGATGCTGCGAGCTTACCCCGGTAATGATCCAAGGTAGGGTTGACACTGAATTCGTTGTAGGAGCTTCCGTATCTGAAATGTAGTCCTGCGGATATTGAGAAGTCGGCTTTGAGGGTAACTGAAAGCTGGTTCAAAATACCCTCACGAGCTGGTGACGCATGGGTAATAAATACACGGGTTTCGGTAGGATCATATACACGATTGGCGGTATCTACCAGCTCTCCCATTTGAAGTAATGTAGTCCACATGGTTCCTTGCCCACCAGCAATTGTGGTTCTGCCCTCACCATTATCGAAAAGTTTGTGCATGACAACTGCGCCACCAAGTCCGAGAAGTCTTAACTTAACGCCTCCAATTTCCAAAAGCATTGAGCGTGCCTCATCAATGATGTGTAGTTTGTCAACCTTGTATTCGCCCGATCTGAATTTCTCGAGGACTCGCACATCTTCACATGCACCCCAGACAGTGTAGACTGGTACATCAAGCTTCAGACTGCCATTTAGGAACTGTGGTAATTCGGAAAGTGGAAGGTCGCCAGGACTGAATCTCGACTTTACTGGACCGCCCGGTGCTGCGATTGCCTTTTTCGTAGCTTCTGTGATCAAGGGAGAGTATTGAGCGACATGTTTGAGGGTTCTATTCAATTTTGTTAGTGGATGATGTATAGTGCTGAGCTGGATGCTGAGCTCACTTTTCTGCAATGCGATCGAGAGAGGTGTCATCATAGAAACCGAAATCTCCTGTATGAATAATGTGATCTGCGCGTGCTTGCTTTGCGAGTTCATTGAGTGATCTTAAATTTCCTTTCGAGCTGTCAGCGTTGCCTGAAAAGTCAAATCTTCAGGTCAAGCTCACCTCGTACGTCTGCCACACACAAAACTCTCACACCTCCAGTTTGTATGATTCTACCGTTGTTTGGGAGTAAAGGAGTAGCTCCAGGTGGGATTCCGGTATGACCTGCTACAGCACCATTTGGCATATAAGCTTGGTTATAGCTAGGTTGTTGGGGAGGGAGTCGTTGCTGAAACATTGGATCTGTTAGCCTGGGATGTACTGGAAACTTCTGAAAAACGGAAGAGTAAGTGGGTCGTCTCCCGACAACGGAAGAGCTTGCTAGAGTCATGTTCGATTGAATGAGACAGTAGAGGAGCAGTGGAAGTTGAAAAGAGATTGTACGATTGAAGGATATGTTTGAAATGGTATTCCACTTACAGGATTGGCCATAATTCACAAGATCGTGGTGATTCACAGTTAGATAAGGAAGGCGTAAAGAGGTGAATTATTCTATGCGCTTTCTTTGTCGGAACAAGTAGGTAAGATGGAGAAGATTAATTAACGGAAGTAAAGGAAGGTGGTATGTAGTAAGGGTTTGGTTGAGGAGGTAGGTACCTTTTTTGATGATTGAAGTTGAGTGAATCTCTTTCGCGCGGCTCACAACCAAATTGGAAACCTAAGGAAGACAACATCCCTGCAACCTTCAGCTTGATTTGGGAGCCACACTTTGCTGACATCAAACCTCACTTCGAACGTCACTCCAGCTCCAGACTTCACTTGAGAAAGTTTAATTTCAGCAATTTATAACAGAATTTAAGACGAGACGGTAATTTGTTATTATTTAAATTGTAATTGTTACCTAAGTAGGTAATATTATAATATTGTAGGACGGTTTATTACTTCCATATAATCTTGCATACCTATACTTCTCCGTATACCATTTCAAACCATCACCAGAGCTATGGTCGGCCAGACAGTAAGATTGCAAGAGTGATCAAAGGTTGAACAACCCCCTTCAATGTCTTCACTGCCATTGCTGTTTACCATTTGCCCATATGTATCATCACATAGTAATCCAGAACTATCGATTAGATATGATACATCGGGTGAGCAGGAGCTGGTTATCTTGTTACAGATATCATCATCTCCACTGCATTCATACATTTTTTTAAACGACAAGTGGCATTATAGGTCGAAGGGAACCACTGCCTCAAAACCTCAACATACAATGGGTACTAGGCAGTCACTAACATCACGTGGGTGGGCGTATCATACCTTGGTAATTGCAAGCGCAAGTGAAAACGTGGATTTTCATAACTTATTATTAGAGACATCAAATACCTACCCACCATATATTTCAGGTGGTAAGTGAATGAGGTTAGGTATATACAACTTTCAACAAGAGAGGGAGATCTTTTCACCCCTCTTACCTATTAGCCTTAATGTTTCCTTAGTCCTATCCACTTCAGACACCTGATATCCATTTTGCATGGCTGTGTTATCTGGCAAACGGATATTCACCAATTTTTAGCCTGTGATTCCTTTGCTCCCTTTATATTCTCCGGTCCCTTGTCCAATCCAAGAAATCCAGAAGAAAATGTGTGGCGTGAAGGAGATTGTGGAGAGCATTGTTCACTACATCTCTGCTTCTTTCGTGCTTTCTCCGTATTCAGATGAGGTAGCAAGCTGTACTCAAATTCCTTTATCCGTCCTAGTCACGAATTTGCGCTTATCTTGATCTCTTCGCCCCCGTAGAGGAAACTTTCGGCCAAGATCGATTACCAAACTTCTGTCGATCAAGAAACACCCACTACCTAGGTAGTGCTTCGTTAAACCTCTATTCGCTAAGAGAAGTTTCGAAAATATTAAAGAGTCAAGATACTGGTACTTCTATACTGAAGATAATCTTCACTTCAAAATGTCTGCAACGGTGTCTGAGAAGTCGGATAAGAAGGTCTTTCTTCTTCATCTTTATCTTTGAATACTCGCTGATCGAGTATAGACTTCTTAGCTATGCCATGATTCATACCCACGTTGGAAATGACCTCAAGGATTTCGGTGTGAGAACTTGGGAAGGAGTGACCCCTGTCGAGCCCATAGAATATATTTGGGGGAACATCACGGAACATGACAGATTTCGCAAGCTCATAGTCGACATGATAGTTTAGGAAACGGCTCAAGAACTCAGCCTCTTTGTACCCGATCCCATACCGACTCTCGTTTTGAATGAACTTGACACCACCATGAGAAGACACTTTAGAGCTGCTATTCATAAAACTTGGGTTGCATTAAGCAATCCTTTGTGGAATATCGAAACCTACCTTACAAATGTCGAGAAGGAGGAAGATGATATGCTTATCTAGGCATGTCAGTTGGATTTTGATTTATAGCAGTGCATCCAATGGCCCGAACTAGTGTATCTTTTGTTTCAGGGTCTCCGGAATTCTACCGCAAGATCGAAAACTTTATAATGACACATCTTATCCATCCCCATCCGCATCCTTAAATCAATGTCTAAAATTCGAGTGCCGCAAATATCATCTCATTTCAATGTAACCACACGAACCTCAGTTACATCACAACTTTCTGTGCCTTTGTGGTTCACAACTATCCATTGTTCTATTGGAATTGGAATAATCAAATTTGACGTGCATGTCTACCTGGATGTGCCCCTTTCGATTCTCAATGATAATTGATCTTTAAGTCGTCATCTGGGTGTCTATCAGTATTCATTTATATTCAAAATAAGATATAGATAGGTATTTGAAGCTGATTTGGCATCCAGTGTCAAGGGATGATTTATTGTTCGGTAGCAAGGAGTAGAAGAATCTCGTGAAGTTGCGACAGAGGAGTCTTTGCTTGCAATATCGGAACAAAAAGTCTTGTTTTCTATTGCTTCTTGAATTCTGCACCGGATTTTGCACCGAATAGTGACAAGTCATTGTGCCTGGGTGAAGGATCTTGCGCTTATTAGGAAGTTCTGGCAGCTTGTCTCGAAACTGATACATTCGAGTATTGTCCTATAATGTAGTTGAAGACTGTGTCTCATCCCTTTTTGGAACTTCTATAGTGTCATCAAAAGCCCATCATGCACCTTATTTAAATCTACATCATAGAAACGTCTTAGGCTTCTACGTTTTCTAGGAACTCGCATGACATCACGCACTCTTACACATTCTTACACATTCTCAGATTCTGAGTTGCGCAAAGGATGAACCTATGCTGGTACCTGAATTCAAGATCTTCTCTACTTATTTCTGGAATATATGGCTTTTGAGGAAGGTGAAATTTTGTCGGCTATTGATGAATCTTTGGAATTTGTGGTTCCAAACATGAATGTAGGTACATATTCTAGTCATCAAGAAAACGAACTTAATCAATTCTCCTCGTTGAGTCTAATTGATCTTATGAAATTAGTTCTAAGCTACAATGAAGTTGTTGAAGAATTGCAAAGACACAAAATCTCTCTCCTAACACCTCGGCTTGATGATCTTGTTCCAAACCTTCGAAGATACCCATTCCTCACAGTTTCGCAAACCATCACCATTGATCTCTTCCAATTCACGTCAATATACGCATCTCTGCACTTTGCGAGAAGTTGATGGGCACCTCTCGATTCTCTGCTTTGTTTCGAGAAAATTATATTTCGAGATGCGATTCTTCCAAGCACATCCACATATTAACTATTTTGAGCGGGTCTGTGAGGTCGAGAGTGATCTAGAAAAAGTGATTCTGAAGCGACTACTTTCTTAGTTTTCGTTTATAATCAATCTAAGTTCTCGATACTTCATTGAAACATCATCTTGGACTTCCTATACCATTCACAGCAACAATCCAGACTGATCCACCCATCCAGTCGGATCAAATAAACTTCATGATGGAAGAAAATAAACTCACTAGAGTGGTCATCAAGTAAGTCTTCTTCTCAGTATTACCTTGCTCTACATGATTCACACGATTCATATTATCATCAACACCATATGAAGATAAATTTAACAAGTTTTCAGATCCATTGGACGGGAGGTCGTGCATGCCAAAGTCGGAAAGGACCTGCAGGATTTCGGTGTACACAAAAGCCTTATCTGCCACTTCTCCCCATTTTTCAAGGCTGCATTTACTTCCGGCTTTGAAGAAACCACCACTGGCATAATCAAACTTGCCGATGTCGATGTTGAAGTTTTCGAGTTATTTTTCAGGTGGCTATACACGCAACAAATCGGCGAGGCCGAACAAGATGAAGTTGAATTCGCTCTGTCGATTGATGATGCGAAAACTAGCCATGACTATAAACTTCATGTTGGCACTCTCTTACGACTCTACATCTTCGCGGACATGATTAAAGTACCGACTCTCAAAAATGACTGCATCGAGAAGGTCTCTCGTATGGGCTCTTCCGAAAAGGAATACTTAACCGAGTCTGAAAATGTTCATTATGTTTGGGAGCATACGAGAGAGGGGGATTTGATCCGCAAGCTTTTTATCGATACGATTATTTGGGACTTGGGGGTAACATCATTCAGCAAAACTCTTGATCAACTTTCTGAGGAAGTGAGATTTGCCATTTTTCTTGCCATGAAAAGAGTTATTGATAATGCTCGCACAGAAATAAAGGAGATGGGGAAGAAAAAAAGAAGATTCAAGACTCTCGCGTCTTTGGATAGTCCTTTAGAAGATTCAAGTAACTATCATGAGAGAATCAGCGCAGAAAACAGCAAAGATGGAGATGTTGTATCTGAATCTAGGGCCGAGGTCTCCGATCAGAACATGTATGAGGTCGAGGAAATTTTGGATTCTAAATGGGTGTATGGCGGGATATGTTACAAGGCGAAATGGGTTGGCCATAAGCACGATGATCAATATTATTCGGCGGAGAATTTTGGAGGCGCTCAGGAACTTGTGAAGGAATTTCATCTGAAATACCCACACAAGCCTAATTCTGGGTCGTACTACTAGTTCTGTTCTCCTGTTCTTGCGTGGAGTTGAGAGCTAGCCAACCGCAGTGTCTCTATAGTTAGACCTGCGGTGTAATAATTAGAGGTATTCGTTTTTTCAATTTGATTGGTTCATTATTCGAATAGTTTGGAATATTAAACTCTTTTCAAACATCGAAAGCTCATTTTTAGTCTATCAGTTCGGACTACTGAACACCTTGAACTTGTGCCGCACGATGCATGAAAAGTACTTGCATACTCGTATAGTCAGTGATCAGCAGATAGCTTGCAGGAAATTCTTTGCAGTCCTGAGAATTTACTGGCTGTTGCAAAAATCTTTGTATCTTTCTCTTAGCACTTGCGGGGAATGTTCTTCGAGATAACACATCACTCTCCACGGGGCTTCCAACCAAAAAGGATGCCTGTTTAGTACTGATTAAAGTACTATCACATCGTTCGTTTATCTTGCAATTGGGGAAGTGCACCACTATCTATGTAATTATTCCAACGCGAATGTCTCTCATGCCTATCAGTCTTTACATAATCTCCCATCCGAAGCTACAGTCATAAGATCACTCCCAACAGACGTATGAGCGTACAAAACAAAATTTGGATCATAAGACAACTTCACGTCCAGCAATTGATCGTAATTTTCACCATAATAATCCTCCTTCCATGTGGGATTATCAAATGTTGCCTCATTCATGTAAGACCCGCCACCAGTGGTCAGGACCTTAAACTGGTCTTGGAATGCATTCACTTGAGCTTGAATCTGATTTATTGTCTCTCTTGAAGCTGCTGCATCGATGCCAACATCAACGTTTAGCCAATAGAGAGAATCACGCCATGCAGGAAGAACAGCATTGGAGCCTACATGGTTCCCAACGCGAGAATGTGTGACGTTAGCGGCTATTCCGTTGATTCGTAAAGATGTTGCGGGGATTCTGGTCGTGCTGATAATGTCTTTGAAAACAGAAATTAGATCAGTGACATTATTTTGGATGGTCGAGCGGGGAATTAACCGTCCTCCAATAATATCATTTGTCGTATAAGGTCCATAGGGAAGACTTCCGGTGTAATGCCCGTAGTGGTCGTAGAAGTTTGGCCTATCACTTGTTTCGTATGCTGCAAATGTTAGGTTCATTGCTTGAATCTCTTCTTTGTACGAAGCTAATGCTTCGGCCATCGTCGAGGCATTTCCCCCCGGCAATGTAGCAAATGCAAGGTTGAATGCATCGCTCGTGAAGCCCCAAACGGTGGTAAAGCCTGGTATTTGGTCTAGAACCAAAAGGTGCTTTTGCCAAGCTTCGATTGCGGACCAGTACCTGGCATCACCAGTATTGTTGATGGTAAATGATCCACCTGCAACTATACCGCCAGCGTGGACTTTCGTAGTCAACGAGATTACCACGGCGTATGTGCCTCCCCCGCCGCCGCTAAGTGCCCAGTAGAGATCCGAGTTTTCCGTAGGAGTAGCGATGAGATGGCGACCATCAGCGGTTACAACTTCAAATTCTAATGCATTATCCGCGCTGAGACCGTATGTTGCTCCGAGGGGACCATGCCCGCCACCTTGTACATATCCACCAGCCATGCCTACAGTTGGGCAAAAGCCACCCACAACTCGCAGACCGTTCTCAGCAGCAATTTTGTAAGCTTCAAAGAACTGAATTCCAGCTCCAACTTTGACCGCAGGGCCAGTGTAATTAGTGCCGGTATAGTTGAGAAACGAGATATCTTTGAGGTTGTGAGTCCATAGTGCGAGGGATCCTTCGTCATTGGATCTACCGATGTAGTCATGACCAGTATTCTTAATTGTGATTCGTAATTTATTCTCCGTTGCGAATTTCAAACCGGCAATAACATCATCAGCACTGCTGGCGTTGATGGCATATGAAGCAATATTTCCTAGATTGCATGTCGCATTTATAGAAATAAAGGGACTGCAAGAATCATTAAGCCAGTATGGTGCCATAACATTGACTGGATCCGTGAAACTTAATGTTCGAATTAGCTTTAGGTTTTTGACCAACATATTCGTCGATTTGGAAAACCAATCAGGACTTACTATGTAAGTGGTGCTGTCCAAGTATTTTCTATCTCTGTGCACTCGGCTGAATCATAGTCGGAATTGTGGCAGCTTTGAGCCAAAAGTCTTCCGAGGATGAGTTTCCCATTGATAGATTGATTCAATTGCTGCCAGTTTGCAAGACTAGGCCACTGAAGATCCGTTGGGAGGTAGTGACAATTACTTCTTGGTTCAAGAGATCCGTCAGATCTCTTCGCCGGCGCGGCAGTCACTGTTGGAAATCCGAACAGGGCCACAGTTGCAGCCAGAGCAAACGGTGATTGTGCAAGCATTGTTTTTGATTCAGAAATTGGTTATAGACACAGAGAGAAAGTACCTCACTAAATCATCGAATCGATAATCCACAGGAATGAAATCTTAAGTCTTGCCATCATATTTATGGCAACTCTTTTCTCCCTACCAAACTCTAATCGTCACCGCTTCTAAACAAGATTCCGTAAGTTCTGTTATTCATCGTGTGAGCAAGTGTCAGCCCTAAGGGCATGGACAATGCTGAATTGCGTATAGAGTTTGACTTGAAGGATCAGGTACCGATCCATATTCCACATTGCTAAGTTCTCTTTCGCACCGATAACGATTACGAGGTGAAGTATCGTACCATTCGCAATCACCATCGGCAAACTCTGGTTGAAGATTTATCGTGAAGAGCTAGTTGATCTGGGATCAAATCCTTCCTTCTAAAACTTTGTGCAAGAAAAGGGTTATGAAATCGCCGCACTGTATATTTGACATTCCTGTAGTGCTTAGACTCCGCGGAAGCTGACGAAGTAATTTCGATAGCCAATCCCGTCGGGTACGCATGATGCAAGGTGAGCATAAACGCGGCTAATTGCTTACTTTGCATGACTAGCCGATTCGCTAACCCCACAATTATTCCCAGGTAACCGATTTCCCTACTACGTGCACGTCCCTGCTATATGCACGATCTTGATCACCCATTTTGAATCACTTTAAAAATTAATAACAATTCCAATTTATAAGATAAAGAGCTAGCAATTTAATTGATAAATGACAAGATATAATACTATCTAAAAACATAATAAAATCTTCAGATTTTGAATTTCGATGGAACTCGTAGTGCTCGCCCTCTACTAGATCGCAATATGACCTCCTCCTCCTTCTCCTTCGAATTATTAGCCTCTACAGCATCAGAGAGCTCTATAGTCTTTGTTGATGTTAGATCTATAGTAGAAGAAGCTTTGGGGAACTTTTTATCTCTTTTGATTGGAGATTTCGTTGATTTTAGAGTCTTTTTAACCTCCTCTTTCGCATCACGTGCAATCTGACGATCAACCTCCCTCTGCAATACTCTCTCTTTCGTCTCAATCTCCTTCCGTTCCTTCTCAGCTTTCTTTTCAGCTTTTATTTGAAGCTTAGCTTCCTTCTCTTGCTCCTCTTTAAGTGCTTTATCTTCTTGATACGCTCTAGCTTTAATAATAGCAGAGGGTGACCATAAAAACGCACCATTCCCCTCCTCTCCAATGAGATTTAAACGCTTTGAACGAGCTCTTTTCCTTTTTTCAAGCTTTAGAGCCTCTTCTAAACCTTTAGATCTATGCCCCTGTATAGAAGCTTCAGCTCCTAATGTAGTTGCAGCCTTAAAAAGCTTTAAAGTGATCTCATGGGTGGGAGCGCGACGAAATTCTAATTTCATTCTACGCATCGCTTTTGACGTATACGGTGTAGCAAGAGCATCCCTGCGAGTTTTAAATGATGTAGGTGGCGTAGAAGGAGCTTCCGGAGCAATACAGTCGATCGTAAGACTCCTATTCATAGGATATATGCCCGTTTTTTCGAAGGATCGTAAGATATTATGCCTCGTACAAGTGAGCTCCCAAGCCTTTTTAAATATGCCCCAAAACATGCGCTTTGTCATACCAACAATTCCCCCGCTATTGTGCATCAAATCATTCAATAATGTACTGTAATTCGTTGAAAGGGCACCGAAGGTTCCAACGTCGAGAGGCTGTAGTCGATGTGTAGAATGAGGGGGGAGAATTAAGACAATAATCTTTAATTCATCGCATTTTGAAAGGAATTCCATATTGACATGACTAGAGTGACCATCGACAATAAGTAGACGATATCTTCCACCTGCTTTTCGACGTGTAGCAGGGTCGAATACGTTTATAAGCCAATATAGGCCAAAAGCATTCGACGACCACCCATTGCTTGAGGCTCCAAAATAGGCTTTATCCTTCTCCCCTACATCCTGAACCCATGTATTTTGTAGATCCCCTGAGTCTCCTTTATAAATAAGAGCGGGAGGGAGAGCTGTCCCATCAGCACATATAGCTGCCAGTAGAGTAATAAACTCTCTTGATCCATCTTGCCTAGCTTTTGTCACTCTGCCTCTATTATAGGCGCTAGCACTCATTATCCTCTTCATAGTCCTCCCCATACCGATCATAAAGCCCTTCTCGTCCCAATTGTATATATCTCTCGGCCGTATATCGTATTTTATGGTCACTTTTATCAACTAAATTAAAAAAAGAGGGGTATTAGCAAGAGCGTTTTAGGTAATAAAGATCAACAACAATAGAAAATAGCTCAAACCAGATCATAAAAGTAATCAAATATAGCAACATTATCGGCTTTCACACGCAAATTATCAATGCAACGGAGATACCGACTTTTAAGACGTGTTGAATGCCTCTTGACAAAATTGCTAGTCCAGTTCTTTCCCACCTCTCTGCCTAGGATCTCTTCTGCAAGGTTTCTGACTATGCGGCTTGTAGGAGGGATAGATCTCTGTGTCAGCTTGTTGATTTGATCAATTAAAACCTCCTCCTGATCACTAGAAAGCGCTTGTTTCGTATCGGAGAGGAACTGTTTTCTCGAGGTGGTTTTACCTCTATGCCGCCGGGAGAGCGTGGATCGATCAATTTTGAAGAAATTAGCTGTCTGGGTGTATTTAGGAGCTTGAACCCCTTTCAAATGATCTAATGCAAGCTCTATACGAGCCTCTAAAGGCATATCATCGATGTTTGAAGCCATAATGTTGATATTTCCAAAGTCGTGCACGTAGTAGGGACGTGCACATAGTGGGGAAATCGGTTAATCCCCAACCCATGTTACCGAGCGTTTATATGCAACTTGCTGACCTTGCATGAAGCTTATCCCGTCGATCCGTACCTGACATTCTTTCCCGTTACAATATGACCTCCTTCATGGTGTTTGTCATCATGGCTTTTATCACCACTTACTTGGACTGAATTGGCAATGAAGCTGCGGAAGTCAAGCACTCAAGGCGATGGCATCGGTAACCCAGAGTATGCAGAGTAATGCCACACATTTCTAGTTCCGCTTGCATTTGTAACGCTTGATTCAAAGCTGCCACTATGGAAGCTTGTGCGATATAAAGATGCTTCTCTGACTTTTTGAGTTGCGATTTGGCATCAACAATCAGATCGACAATCGCTTCTTTCTTACAACTTGGTCTCTTGCATAATTATCAATCCAATACTAAGTCATCATGGCACCAACTATTGTTCTCATTTCTGGCGCCAACAGAGAGATTGGCAAGGGGATTCTCGAACTTTATCTTTCTAAGCCAAACCATACTGTCATTGCGGCAAACCGCGATCCAAACCACCCTTCCTCCAAAGCCCTCGCTGATTTGCCCACGGCTGAAGGCTCGTCCCTTATCCTGGTCAAAGTTGATGCTACTGTCTCCACAGATGCACTCGAGGCTGTGAAGCAATTGGAAGCTCAGGGTATTGATCATATCGATATTGTGATTGCGAATGCTGGCGTTTGCTACGTTTGGCCTAAAGTTTCGGAAGTAAAGGCCGAAGATATTCAAGGCCATTTTGTTCCAAACGTACACGGATTTATTTGGCTGTATCAAGCTACACTTCCTCTATTGAAGAAGTCCAAACTCGGAAAATTTATCTCTATTGGTTCTTCCGCAGGATATCTCACGGTAAGTTTACTCCCAGATCTCAACTCACCATCGTAACTTTTGGCTAACGATTTTTCATCTAGTAATTCATCCTCTTCATGAATAATCACAAGTGACCAAAGCGAATAACATGTATTGACATTTTGCAGGAACCAATTAGATATGCCGAATTCAGTCTACGCACCTTCTAAAGTTGCCGTACATTGGCTTACAAAAGCTATTCATCGTGAAGAGCCAACTCTTATAACTTTCCCCATTGATCCCGGGTAAATTTCATCTCATGGTTCCTGTAGTGGAGCATCATCTTCGTCTTTGAATCCTGCTAACATGCTATCCAGATGGGTCCAAACCGACCTGGGAAACATTGGTGCTAACCACTTCGGGTTCGACGCAGCTCCTCTAGGAGTTGCAGAATGTGCTGCTGGATTGGACAAGGTTATAGCTGAGAGTACCAGAGAGACCCACGGAGGAAAGTTATACAAGTGGGATGGCGAGGTTCTCCCTTGGTAGAGGTATTCTTCTAGTACTTCTCACGATATATGCTACATTAAGTATAGAAGTGAAAACGTGTACTTCAAAAAAATAAAAATCCCATGTTCATACTCTTTCAGACGGTTTCGAACAGTTTAGTTTCTAGATTATCGCTGTCGGTATCACGTTCTGTTGATATTGAGCACATCCTGCCTCGCGTGCGATTCCAAGGACACGAAAATTATGTTATTCTCAAAAGTGATTTATAAATGCTAGGCAACTTATATACTTTGGCAATTTTCGACATGCTGGTGCATACTCTATTCCACATCCAAAACCAGCTCTGGATTTCATAGTGACCCTTGAAAGGTAAAGTCAATCCCCGCTCATCGGTCAGTCAGGAGCAAATATCGTGCCGAGACATGTCTTTGAAAGATCAGTCAGGGATTTAAACTCCACACATGTCACTTCTTGAAGAATTGGAACGTTCCCATCTTGTCAATTACTACTCTAAAGGCGCAACTGTGCCAAGTGACCTAAACAGACATGGCTGACACATGAAGAGCCGCAAGTCAGCAAAAGCTAAGGCAGGACACATTTCATATCACCATGTCATCTTAAAAATTGGTAAATCACTCGCTTGCACCGTACATGCTGTAAGTCTAGCCCATCAGTGGGCGCATGGGCTGATGGGACACTTCCCAACTTTCGAAATTTCTAATAAATTGGTTCTTCAATTGTTTAACATTAAAGCTCATAATTTTATTGTTTCAAATTTAATTAATGATTGCAACGACTTCCAGGATATCCAATTCGTTGTATCGAGAGATATTCGCAAGTCCTTTTTTGTAATGTCCCGTCAATCCGTACACCCACTGATAGCCATATCTTTGAGATCAATCAATGAACTTGTCTGGACTTCGCCCCACTACATGCTTGCTCAGAATCATACTATTGGGGTTATCATGAATATCTTGCCTATCTTATGCAGGCTTTTAATTAATGTCTTGGGGACGTTTGTTCTGCTCTAGTGAATGAATAAATTTTGATCTGTCCCAGAAAAACTATCTAACTTACTACCAAAATACACACTTCTTATTCTCCTCTGAGATCCACCAACAGATCTCCCCCAAAATGATTGAGAGAGTTATCAATTTCTTATCCTAACTCGTAGACCTGGGCTACCTTTGGCGGGAAAAAGTATAATATAATCGTGATTCAAGTCAATGTCTCTTTCACGGATTGTGTCAAACAATTCCAACGTCGGTCCGTCTTGTCCGCGATAGATGTCATACTTCTGAATAATAGTCGCAAGAACTAGGGACGTTTAGAGACGTGCAAAATTCATCCTATTTTTACATGCACGTGTTAGATGATATGAACAAAACAATTATTCATAGATTTTGGCTCACCCAATGCAGTTCCTTGTACCTCGAGCAAAGCCAATAAAGGCTTTGTCAAGTCTCGGGTTGTCAATCCACCTCTGTGGACGGAACTCATATGGATCCTCAAAAACATCTGCATTCATATGTGCGATTTGAGGCGTCATATTCATCGAAGTACCGGCTGGAATGACATACTCCTTGTCATTCTTCTTGTCATGGTACAAAGTTGGAGTCTTGGGAGAGACTCGTGGCAAGCGTGAGACAACGCCGGGGCGAATACGAATTGTCTCTTGAATCACTGCGTTCAGGTATTGCAGGCTTTCTACCTCAGAGAAAGATGGAAGGCTATATGAGTTTGGAATAGCCGCAAGTATCTCCTCCTTGACCTTCTTGAATTCCTTGGGATTGGTGAGTAGCTGAAAGAGAGCAGACTGAAGCGTATACGCTGCGTTGATGTTAGCTAGAGTCACCAGATCCAAAGATTCTCTCATAAACTATTTTTGACACATACCCGTTGTACCTTCTCCTGCAAATACAACTAACTGAGCTTCATGGGCTAGCCTAAGATTGGTCTTCTCCTCATCAGGAAGTTTACTACTTAATACGCCTTCAAAAATAGTGGTCTTGATTTTTTCAGGGTTTGGAGAATTTCTAACTTCATCGACACGCTCTATCCACATCTGATATACCTGAAATCAGTATGCTAGAATGTCTTCAATGATTGGACAACTCACCGCCGCTTTATCCCACATTTCGGTTAGAGATGGGATAAAGGTTTCGATAGCCCAAGGTGGTGCCGATGCGAGCAATGTACCAACCCAGGGAAAGTGACAGAAAGTATGATTGAGTTTAAAGAAAACATCGGTAGATTCCATATAGGGCATGGAAAAGTCTTCCTGCTCTGGAAAATGGAAAGATTCTCCAAAAGCATACTGCGTAATAAGATCGCTGGTACAAGTCCGGAACAAAAAATGCATTGGTAAGACTTGCTCCGTCGTCCCAGCAACTTGCATTCTAGATAGAAGCGTATTGATGTATTCCTTCATGACAGGCTCTAGTCTTCGAATACTAGCATTTGAAAAGAAATTGGTGATTTTGTTGCGTCTTTTGCGGTGCATATCATGATCGATTATTGCAACTATAGAGTTTTGAGCTGTGATGGAATACATACCAGTCAGCTTGGGAAGTGGATATGAAACTTCGAGCGAATTAAGTGAAACATTTTTTTATTCTTACTTCCTGTTCTTCTACCAGTAAAAAAGTACTTGTCAGTCTGTCTCCCAGGTCCAGGGAAGACCGAATCTATAAAATATGGATCGTTCAAGTGAACTTCGTAAGGATTGGTGCGCACAATAGGCCCTGAGATTTCCACATTAGTCAATTGAAATGTGTGTAGAATGGAAAATATACCATATTTTTTATGCATCTCGTCGATCTTTTGGTAATATGTCCCTCCAAGCCAAATATCGTAATAGATCTCATACCAAAATGTCACAGCTTGCGACAGAGAAAATCGGAGCGTTAGTCTACAATAATCGCTGGGGATGTCGGAAAGCCTCACCTGCTATCTTTGGTCCCGGTATCCTGGCAATGGGAGATAATGTTACTTCAAGAAAACTGTCAACGAGATTGCCCAATAAGGTCTGCCAGGTCCTCAAGCTACATACATCGATATACTGCAAGACCAGTAATGTAGACAAGCCACAGTGAAATGATAAGATACAAAGGTGTCAGGGTCAAATAGTTCCTTATGTTCCATAGATTTGAGTCAAACAAAACTCTCGTCTCGGAACCATCCACAGAGCTGCGTAGAAAGTCACCCAACCTTGAAATGATATCGAGGAGCTTGATTTCAGCCATCGTGGTAGTAATCGGAGGGTTGTGAAGAAATTTTGTGGATTTCACATTGCTTAATATCTACAATTTTAACGGAATGAAATCTAGATAGAGGCTAGCTTCAAATATGCCACCACTTTTTGAGTTCATTAGCAATCTTACTTGCAGCATTATATCAACCGCTATGCACCCATTTTAATCCCTTGTTTCCGCTCGAAATATGAGCACGCGATTTGTATCAGTCTATGCATTGTAAGCTGTATTGAAGGCTACATTGCAGGTTTAGTTGTAAGACTCGTGCTCACTAGTATACTTGCGAAGATCATGTTCCTTTCCGTCTGGGTGAATTGCGGCATAGACCAACGTTCATGCACCTTGGTTAATAAACTTTAGTTGCCTAGTTTTAGCCTGGAGAAAGGTCAAGTGTCTGTTAGCTGACGGATCCTTATCTAGTGCTCTTGAATCATGATTCAAAGTTACATACACCGTCACAAGGAAGATCTCCAATAGTCCTCATTGCAGTCCGAGAATGCAAGGCTTTATCATTCTGTATCTAACTAGAATAGTGAGATTTTCAACACCTATTGAAGTAGCCTGAATGTTGAACTACTTGTGAAGAATCATGGCATCATCCAGTCTGATAGCCTGGCTTATGGTCACTTTGACAATCATAGGACGATTTATCCAAACATCCTCTATAGCTCAGCTAGATATTCGAGAGGTTAGAATGGCACAGCGTTTCAAGTAGAATTATATTGCTTTTGTTTCCCTGAAAGTGCAATGAAGGAGTATAATATTCCAGCCAACTCATCTAGTCAAAACTTATTTCTCTTCAGACATTCGTGCAAATTCACAACGCGTCGGTGCTTTATGCGTTCAACTCACTAGCCGTCTTGATGAACTCTGTTATGGTACTCAAGATTTCCTTAGACTTAAAACTCATTTGATTGCAAAATCCGTGTTGAATCCGCTGAAATAATCTGCTCTTTGTGTTACTACGGATTTCGCGGTGGTAGTAATCCGTTTCAAAAAGAGTGAATTATTGATTTATAGTTTTATAATTTATATATCAAATCTATTAAATAATTTATCAAAATGAAAAGAAATGGAGTATGTGTATAGTATATATACAAACTAAATAGGATAATTCGAATTTTCAATATACTATTGCTATTTGAATAACTAAATAAGCGAATGTGGGGATAGCTTTATTTAAATTTACATATAATTATAAACTCTAATTCAAAATAAACCTATAGCTTTAGGTTTTATTCATTATAACTTCAGGCTTTATATACTAAAGCTTTAAACTTTAAAGCCTATAAAAGCCTATAAAAAGAATGGATTATTTCAGTGGATTCAACGAGGCCTGCTTTTTCTAGTTCTCGTTTTCAATCCACGTTTTCATTTTCCTATACAAATTTATTAAAAAACGTGAATTACTTAGTGTCATTTTAGAGTGACCTATCCCCTTCCTACTTCAAAATATACTAAATTTATTGAAATACGGATTATTCGATAAAATCCACAATTTAATATCCAAATATAAATTCAAAATCCGTTTTCAAAAAGCACGGAATATTCAGTGGATTCAGTGCGGATTTGTATATCCAAACTAGCCCTTATCTCCACTAAGAACAGTCAAATGTCCTTTTTCCTTCGTTACATACAGGGTTTTTGGGCCTGCTAAGAGCCCAAAAGCTTCAATCTGTTCTTCGGGCGACGAAATATCGTCTAATTCGGGCACTATCATTAGAGTTGACGCTTGAAACATGTCTAGTAGTACCTTGGGACGGAATATAAACAGTTTCTGGTATGTTTGTAGAGTGATACGATCGCAAAATTGGGGGCACCGTGATCGATGACTGCGGACATGAAGCTGTATGCTTCCATTCCGCCGGCCCCCCCTGATCCCCAAAACCCCATTGGATTTTCTCCTTTGCTATTAAATGGAGGTAATGTGAATGCTTCATTACCTCGCAGTTGCGGTTTTCGATCCCTGATGAGTTGTGCAAAAACAGTTTCTCGCTTCTCTGGCTGATAGAAGCTAAAAATGGGACACACCATCACGAGTGCCTTAACTCGCCTATCCACAGCTGCTGTGCAAGCGCTTACAGTCGCTCCAAAGGACATACCCCAAAGTATGATTCGACGTGAGTCAACGTCTGGCAATGGTGAGATGTGTGTTATAATGTCTATATAACAAATCGTAAGCCAAGAACTGCACAGGAAAAGCTTCTTTTTGGAATTACTTTACTAACCTGATAAATCTTTGGCTTGTTGTAATGGGCTAATCTGATTTCTAGGAAGTCTGTCACTGTCTCCGATACTTCGAGGATCATAGATCAATGCGTTATAACCTATACCCTGGAATCTTCGAGCTATCTCTGGCAAGAGCATTTCTTTGACACAGTTGAACTAAACTGCTGTTAGTAGCAAGAACAGAGATAAATCATTGAATGCTAGTTTGCAAAGTACTTACTCCATGTGTCATGATAATGGCAGGTGATTTCACACCCGTAGGGTGCAACAATCCTCGTAGGGTAATGCCATCTATCGTCTTGTATTCAACTTTGATCGCCAGCAGAGCCATATCTCAACACGTATCTTCTGAGAAGCTACAATGGTAACTTGATTCGAAGACGTTGAATATTGTAATGTAATAGAGATTGGATGAAGTGACAGAATTGGCAATAAGTGTATGATGAGGAAATATAGTACGTAAAAGACAACCGAACAGAAGATCGCGTATGAAAGCCTGGCCTTGACTATCTATCTAATAGAAGTCTACGAATAGAAGTAAAAGGTACATTTCTTCTGCAATAATGCTGATCCCTAAAACATGGAAAAATCCGTGCAAACGCAGTCGACCAATGTGCGTCTCACTCTTCTCTGCTCTACTGCAACAAGAAGGGGCTCTCCCTTAAATCTCACCTCGTGCAGCTCTAGTTCTTATCTCAATGCATTGCATTTGCTTAATCAACCTATCTAAAACTATCTTCATTTTCCAACCGAAAAGCTGCCTAAATTTGCTGGGACTTTTATCAAGACTCAAGCAATAGCAACGTCAATCGGCCTTATTCAATGTCCAAAGAAGCTGTTAGCATACGTTTAAGAGATGGTGCAATGAGGTTGAAGATGTGGCGTGGTCGTTTAACGGTTTCTTCAACATGTATTTCGTGATCCAGGGTATCTGACATGCAGCTGTAGGGTTTATTGCAAAGATAGAGGGGTATGAATCCCTTGACCCGCTGAAGTACCGTGCATTCACTAATTATCGCGGGGTTCAAATCGTTTGCTGAAGATAATTTTGTAGTCTATGCAGGGCTAGGAACAGTGGGCTATGCCAGATCGCAGAAGATATGGCTCTGGGTAAACAACGGAGGTCGCAAGCGCTCTGTGCCCCTTACCTGCAGTTTCCTATATGCAAGGTCATCATGGATTGACACAAGCGAGCACGTGCTTGGTATGATAATTGTTGATCTGCATTGTAATCTTAGGACAAATTCTAAATCACAAATTCTCGTGACTTATGTCTTGCGTGAAAATCGGAGCCAAAATCTGGGAGTCAGTGAGAACACAGAGATGTTGGCTGAAGGTTACGATCTTACTATGGACGGAGATAATGGATATTCGTAATATGATGAGATTTCAAGTCTGGATGTTTCGAGTTTTGAGGAGTATAGTGATTAGGTTTTTAGACAGAGAATGACTAGAATGTTTCCCGTAGTTACCTTCTTCCCTTCTATATAAGATGCTGGGATATCAGAACAATCAATTCATGATCATCTCCCTTCTTCAAATACTTATATCAATCTATATACGATAAAACTCATATCAAATTCACAATGTCTCAACATTCTCAAGAGCCAGTTGCCATCATTGGCTTCGCATGTCGCCTCCCAGGAGGTAATACTACACCAAAGAAACTCTGGGAGTTTCTCGAGAGAGGAGACATTGCCTCGAACAAGGTTCCTAAATCAACATTTAATATTGAGGGACATTGGGATGGGTCTCAGAAACCACGCACTATGAGACCATGTGGTGGTATGTTTCTCGAAGATATTGACCCGGCGGATTTTGACGCTTCATTATTTGAGATCTCGAAGAGCGAGGCCATCTCAATGGATCCAAACCAGCGTCAGATGCTTGAAGTTGTCTTTGAAGGACTCGAAAATGCTGGTATCCCACTAGAAAGTCTTGATGGGGCACCTGTCGGGTGTTTCGTTGGTTCATATGCATCAGGTAAGTAAGCATGTTCTTGAGCTACTGTCCACGTGAAAGTGAAAATGAAAATACTAAGTACTTCGGATTATGGCGATATGCAAAATAGAGATCCTGAAGATAGGCCGGCAAGCATTACTGTTGGAGTTGGGCGTGCTATAATGGCTAACAGACTAAGTCATTTCTTGAATATCAAGGGACCGAGGTAAGAATATTGATTTGCATTGTACTGTACCCTTAAGACTGACACTTTACGCTTGACAGTATGACTATCGATACCGCTTGTTCTGGTAGTCTTGTGGGTCTTCATGTAGCATGCCGATATCTACAGTCTCGAGAGATCAATGCTGCTATCATCGCAACGAGCAATCTCTATTTGAATCCTGAGCATGTAATGGATCTTGGAGCGGTCGGAAATGCACATTCACCTACTGGGCTATGTCATACATTCGATATCGACGCTGATGGATACGTAAAGGCTGAAGCCGTTAGCAGAATTATCGTGAAAAGACTCTCCGATGCGATTCGCGACAGGGACCCCATTAGAGCTGTGATTCGAGGTTCTGCTACCAATAGCGATGGAAAAACGCCAGGTATTGCTAGTCCTAGCGCCGAAGCCCAGTCTGCTGCTATTAGAGCAGCGTATGCTGATGCAGGTATTACCAATTTGAATGATACAGCATATCTCGAATGGCATGGCACCGGAACGCAGGTATGATTGACCACAAAGTGTAAACAAAACGGTTTAATTAATGCGCTTTGTACAGGCTAGAGATCCCACTGAAGTGAAGGTGCCGCTTCAGCATTTAGTGCGACGCGCTCAGCAGATAAGCCACTCATCATCGGCTCGGTAAGTGACCTGTCAAACCCTTTTTACAGGATTGTTAACCATGAACGCTCACTGAATTATATTCAAGATCAAAAGTAACTTAGGACATGCTGAGCTATCAGCCGGTATTTCAGGCATCATGAATGCCGTCATGGCCATCGAAAACGGAATCATCCCAGGAAATCCAACTTTTATAAAACCTAGTCCAAAGAGTAAGCACAGCCCAAATATGGTGTTTATTGCAATTTCCATCGCTAACAATAATGCGGCTGTAGTTGATTTTGCTGGTCTTGAAGTGAAGGCTACTCGTACTTCAATCCCATGGCCTGAAAGTTCTATTCGCCGAGCAAGTGTCAATTCGTTTGGATATGGAGGCTCCAATGCGCACGTGATTCTGGAACAGCCCAAATTTCCAGATGGCCCGCATCACATCAGTTCACATCTGTCTGATACTGACGAGCTTACTTTGAATGAAGATGACTCAGAGTATCCGTATACACTGGTTGTCTCGGCAAATGATAATGCTTCGCTCAAGGCTAATATCAAGGCATTGAGCAATCACTTAATCAACCCTCGTGTCAAGGTCAATCTTGAGGATCTCGCATATACTCTCTCTGAGAGAAGGACAAAATTGTGGCAGCGGGCCTACATTACAACACGAAGCACAGAAATTGACGAAAAGGATTTTGTTCCTGGAAAGAAGAATCCAGAGGCCCTAAGGATCGGGTTTGTGTTCACTGGTCAGGGTGCCCAGTGCCCTCAAATGGGGAAGGACTTACTGCAATTCTTTCCCTGGACAAGAAATATACTCAACAACCTTGACGACGCTCTACAGAGTCTTCCACAGCCTTCAACTTGGTTATTGATACATGAGTTAACCAAAGTTCGCAGCGCCGAACACTTTCGTCAACCAGAATTTTCACAGCCTCTGGTCACAGCACTTCAACTATGTATCATTGACGTTCTTCAAAAGTGGGGTATCAAACCTCAAAGCGTTGTTGGTCACTCATCTGGAGAGATTGCGGCCGCATACGCAGCAGGTTTTCTCGACCAAGCCACTGCTATCAAGGTAGCCTACTGCAGAGGTCGGGCTGCTGTGAATCGAAAGAACGAAGTTGAGAGTGATGTTGGTATGTTGGTGGCGGGTCTAGGAACAGAAAGACTGTTGCCATTCTTAGAAAATTATGCCGGAAAAGCTTGGATCGCTTGTTTCAACAGTCCCAGCAGTTCGACCCTGTCCGGAAAACGCGAGGCGCTCGAAAAGCTGGCTGAACAATTGAAAGCCAACGGTCATTTCGCTAGACTTCTCCAAGTCGATCTTGCCTACCACTCTGAGCTTATGGGAGTGATTGGTGAAGAGTATGAGAAGCTTTTGAAATCGGGCTTCGCTTCCCTTGGTGGATCATCAGGTGTATCGATGTTTTCTTCAGTCACCGGGCTGAAGCAGACTACTACTACCGACGCATTGTATTGGAAAACAAACATGGTATCACCGGTACGATTTGATAAGGCTCTCAATGAGATGCTTTCGGACGAGAAAGCTCCAAACTATTTGATCAAAATTGGTCCGTCGGGGGCATTTGCTGGCCCTATCTCGCAGATTTTAAAAGCACTACCTAACAGTGACGGTATTTCGTACAGTCCTTCATAGGCTCGAGGTCAAGCTGCGGATAAAGCTATTTTCGATCTGGCAGGTCGTCTATTCGTCGCGGGCCATGACATTAGCTTGAGAAGTGTGAATCAGTATACTAATGCTAAAACTTTGATTGATCTTCCAAATTACACCTGGAATCACTCCGTAAAGTACTGGCATGAAAATGCATCGAATAAAGATTGGAGGTTCAAGCAATTCGTGAATCACGATTTACTTGGAAGCAAAGTCATCGGGATCACGTGGAAGTCACCAACCTGGCGAAAGCTTCTGAGCCTGACTGATGTTCCATGGCTGAAAGATCACAAGATGGGTTCAGACGTCTTGATGCCTGGTGCTGGATACATAGCAATGGTTGTAGAAGCATTGTACCAAAAGACACGTGCCACCGCGACCGAGGATCTAGTCATTAGTTCGCCCAATGAGCTATGCTATCGATTGAGAAATATCCGCTTCGACAAAGCTTTAGTTCTAGAAGATGATAAAGACTCCGCCATACTTTTATCACTGACTCAACAGTATGGTAGTAAAGATTGGCAAGAATTTCGCATTTCTTCAACAACCGGAGATCTTCTGATGGAACATTGCTCAGGTTTGATTCGCGTACAAGACCCTGTTGATGAGAACTTGGCAGAGTCTGATAACACACCCCTGCAATACCCAGCTTCTGGCAAGGTCTGGTATAAGGCTCAGGCGGAAGCCGGCTATGGCTTCGGTCCCAGTTTCCAGAAGCTACTCAAAGTCGAGTCTAGCAGTGGTCAACGACAATCTCGTGCACAAGTATCGTTGGCAGAACCAGCTTCAAAATGGTCGCCGCAGTCTTATTATCCAATCCATCCCGCAGCTCTTGATGGATGCTTCCCAAAAATCTCACCTGCTCTATGGGCAG